CTCTGCACTTCTCCATTTCTTGCTGATAAACGCAAAAAAGAGTAGCGTAACATATTCTGTTAGACGTACTTAGGTGCAAACGGAATGTAGTAGTGCAGCACCTTACCGTCAAAATTTACTCTAACTAGATTCAGTCCTGAACAAAATTCGTCTTCTATTGTTTCGTTAAATATGTTTTTGAACCACTAACTAACAAAGACTTATTTTTTTTTGCTTTATTTACTATTTAAGGCCATTCGTAACGTTTTGACTGCTGCAACAAATTTGGACTGACGAAATATGTTTTACTCTTTGAGGCGGTGGTCGTTGTCATATTTACTGTTTTTTCCTCGTCTATGTAAGATCTAATCAGTGTTTGCTTGTAGTTGAACACTAATCTGTTTGAATCTGTCAGACAGGCCGGTTGGTATGTTGACGCTAAAAAATAGCAGCACTAATAACAGAAAAAGTTTGTAACCTTACTTTGAATCAATTTTTTAGCTATAATTTATCAAATATTTGGTATTCTAATTAACTATTGACAAAGGAAGGACTGAAAAAATTGATTAAACTGTAGCAGCAAACTGTTTTTTTTTTCTTTGTAAGAGTTGAACAACACTAAACATAAATCAAACTGATGTTAGTTTTTTCCCTGCGTAAATCAGATTCCGTCAGATTCTAACGATTGCTGCAGTTGTAGTCAATTATAGAATTTTAAACAATTTTTTTTTTTTTGGCAGCAACTATTTTTTCGACTGTAAAATATCAAAATTTTAAACCCCAGAAACTTTTGCTAAAATCTATAGGACATACCAGAAGTGTGTTACTGTACCAATGTAAAATGTAAAACTTCAAGCAAAAATGTCTTTTCTAGCGACTTTCAAGCGGCCAAAATATACTGCTTAGCACTACTGTTATCAAAAACTTAAGCAAAAATATTGAAAAAAGCTTTAGATTAGCCGGTAATTTTCAGATAAGTAACTTTTCAGAAAAATCTACTGATTCAGAGAAGATATTGGGCTTAGCCATCTTATAAATTATTCTGCAATATTTTCTAATCAATAAAATTTTAATTTTTAAATTTTACATAAGTTACACTATTTAGGTTGACAGTTAACTAAAATTAAACGATCGTATAATAAACCAATAAATTCAGCGATTTTAAATTTAGTGTTTAGCATTTCTTATTAATGTGTAACAAACCGAAATACACTGACAATTGTTTGCCTTGTCTTATGTCTCAAAATTGTTCGTTTTTTGTTTTTTTTTTTTTTTTCTGCTAAGGTAGTATCGAAAAAAGCAGTTCTTAGGGTTCTCTCATGGTTAAAGTACAGGTATTTAAAGCGCAATGCTCGCCTGGTACGTACTATAACTCAGCAGTGAAGAACTGTGTAATTTGCCCAAAAGGTAGTTATCAACCAAACTTTGGACAGTATCAATGCATTGTTTGCGCTGAAGGACGTACCACTATCCATGAAGGAAATACAGACGAAAAAAGTTGTCTTTGTAAGCCTAGAAACTGATTAAATTAATTAATTAAATTAACGCAGTATTTATAAGAAAATAAAACATTTTCCACTTAAATTACGGTACTTCTAGAAAGACAAAAAATTAAATCAGCCATAGTCAACGTTGTGTAATAGATACGATTGATAAAAAAAGATTTTTTTTTTGTAAAATAATGTCTTTTTTCTTTTTTTGTTTAAAAACATTTCAGTGGAATGTCCCGCCGGACATTTTCTTGAGCCATGGTCGTCACGATGTTTACCCTGTGGTTTCACAGCTTATCAACCTCATCGTGGTTCTTCATCATGTCTTGCTTGTCCAAGCGGAACTATCACTCTTGTACCAAATGCTGTTTCAGTCACCCAATGCAAAAGTATTGTTTACGAGTTTTTTTTTATTGAAAAAAAAACAAAAAAAAACATGATTATAACAGTTTCTTTTTTTTTTTTTTACTCTTTAATATATTAGTAAAAGTAATAAACTATGTCAGATTTGAAAACAATTTTGGTGCATTAAGTTGTTGAGTAGATTACAGCTAATTTAATAAAATCAATTATCCTGTAAAGAGCGGAACTTTTTTTTTTTTTTTTCAATCAGTAACTGAACCTATTGTCTGCAGAAGAATTTTCAGGCAACTGTCCACCTGGAAAAGAGCATAGTTCAAATGGCACTTGTGTACCATGTCGAGTTGGATATTTTAAAACTGAAGAGGACCTATTTTGTCGGCCATGTAATGCAGCATTTACCACAGAAGGCACAGGTTCTGTCAGTGAAAGACAGTGTAATATGAGTAAGTTTTACTTTTTTATGTGTATACAACATTAAACGAGGTTTAATTTTGAAAAAAA